GTGGGGAAGGTTTAGGCTGGATATTAGGAAAAACTTTTTCACTAGGAGGGTGGGGAAGCACTGGAATGGGTTCCCTAGGGAAGTGGTGGAATCTCTATCCTTAGAGGTTTTTAAGGCCCGGCTTGACAACGCCCTGGCTGGGATGATTTAGTTGGGGATTGGTCCTGCTTTGAGCAGGGGGTTGGACTAGATGACCTCCTGAGGTCCCTTCCAACCCTGATATTCTAGGATTCTATGTAAGATAAGGGTCTGTTCTGGTCATCAACTTTGACCTGCCAAGGAACCTCACCCACTCAGTGCTGCATCCAGCTTGGTCACTCATGGTTGAATTAGCCTATATAACTTAGGTTAAGGCATATGGCGGGGTGGGGTGGGGGGGGTGGATTTTTCCCATCACTTGCTGCTCAGCAATGTGCACCATTCATCCAACTTCAGCTCAGGCGGACAGTTAGTGGCTGAATAAAGATCAGCAGGTAACCACTTCATTCCACCACCCCAGGGTCTGACTTCTCTGCTTCGTCTCATGAAGACAGAAGTGCTGAGGTCCTGTGTACTTCATGACCCAGTGGCAGCACATTGGACCAACAGCCAGCCACCCTTCTGTTCCCCAGCGAGAACCCCACCCCATCCCTGCAGTGTTAATTTGTGCTATCCAGGTGAATTCCCTTCCTTCCCACCTCCTCTTGCAGCTTTTGCTCAGCTGAAGATCCGCACTGACTTACAAGTCAAGGACTCTGCTTTCAAGCCAAGCCATCTCCTTGGGCCTGGGCACTCATGTTCTCTGAGCAGCTTGGCTCAAACCCTCCTTCAACTAGGGAAGTGGGGGAGTTTGTGACTGAGATTTTTTGGTAATATTTTTGATTAATATTGTGTGCCTCAGTTTCCCCTGGTTAGGTGGTGGGAAAGGGGTTGTATGCTTGTTGCAGAAGCCCAGAGATCCAGGTGTGACTGACGCTTAGCTGCCTGTTCCCCCATGCCCAAGGAGAGTCCCAGAAGACAACGGCCACTCCAATTGCTTGGACACTTGGCATCTAGCAACAAATGGCCATGGACAGCCCACTGTCCTTAAGAAGCGAGCCGGGTGTGACCGGCTGGAGGACAAATGACAGGAGGGGCCAAGTGAGGTTAAGTGTGGGCTGCTAGAGGCAGAGGGCAGCTTCTGAACTGGGCCTAAGGGGGTCAGAGGTTTCTGGACTGACCCACCTGGACTGGGTCCTTGCGCCGGGGCTGTAGGGCAGGGCTCAGCCGCTCCCTGCGCGGGCTGGGGGCGCAGGCGCAGGCAAAAGCCCCCCCCACCCCCCCCGCAAATGGCCACCCGGCTCTGGCCAAGCCCCGCCCCGGCATGTCGTCACACGCCCCCTGGCCCGGCCCCGCCCCGCCGTGTCGTCACACGCCCCCTGGCCCGGCCCCGCCCCGCCGTGTCGTCACACGCCCCGCGCGCCATCTCGCGCCCCGCCCCCGGCCCAGGCCGCACCGCGCTCCATGGGGAAGAAGGGTCGCGCGGCGCCGGGCCGCCGGCCCATCCT